ACCCACAGCCTGTTTTATCACAACTTACAACAACACAATCAGCCTGTTATCACACCACTACAACAACACCCCCTGTTATCCACACCCGCACAACAACACGCCTGTTCATCACACCACTACAACAACACCTCCTGTTATCACAACCGCTACAACACACAGCCTGTTATCCACACCGCTCAACACACAGCCTGGTTATCACACAGCACAGCCGCTACAGAAAACACAGCCTGTTATACACCCTACACAAAACACAGCCTGTTATCACATCACACGACACCACAACCTCTACAACAAATACAGCCCTGTTATCACCCTGCTACAACACACAGCCTGTTATCACACCCTACAAAACACCATCCTGTTATCGACAACCTCTACAACAACACATCCTGTTATCACACATCACACAATCGCTACGACACAAGCCTGTTATCACACCACTACAACATACAGCCTGTTTATCACCACCGCTACAACACCACAGCCTGTCTCACCCGCTACAAACAGCCCAGCCTGTTATCCACAAACCGCTACACACCACAGCCTGTTATCACACCGCTACCCCTACAACACCGCCTGTTATCACACCTCTACAACAACACAAGCCTGTTATCACACACAGATCACACCTCTACAACAAACATCCTGTTATCACACACCCGCTCAGAACAACACAGCCTGTATCACACCGCTACAACACAACATGCCTGTTATCACACCACTACACACACCAGCCTTTATCACAACACCGCTACAAACAACACACAAGCTGTTATCACATCACACACCGCTGACACAACACACAGCCTTTTATCCACAACACACCGCTACAACACATACATCCTTGATCACTCACAGCCAATGGCAAGGCTCCTACCACAACACACATTCCTGTATCACAATCCTCTACAAAGACACGACATCCTTTTATCACCCCTACCACTAACCAACACACCCAGCCTGTATCACACCGCTACAAAACACATCCTGTTATCACAACACCGATACAAAACACACAGCCTGTTATCACACCCGCTACAAACCTCAGCATGTATAACAACCACTACAATCAACACATCTTGTTTATCAACAAAATCACACCGCTACACACACAGCCTGGTTATCACACCTGCTACAACAACACCACACATCCTTTTTATCACAACCCCTCTAGCAACAACACAGCCTGTTTAATCCACACCCGCTACAAAACCGACAGCTGTTTATCACCCACTACACCAATACAGCCTGTTATCACACCGCTACAACACCACAGCCTGTTATCACACCGCTACAACAACACAGCCTGTTATCACACCGCTACCACACAGCCTGTTATCACACCGCTACACACAGCCTGTTATCACACCGCTACAACACACACAGCCTGTTATCACACCGCTACAACAACACAGCCTGTTATCACACCGCTACACACACAGCCTGTTATCACACCGCTACAACAACACAGCCTGTTATCACACCGCTACAGACACACAAAAGCCCTTTTTATCACAATCCTCACACACACAAAGCCTTTTATCAGCCACAGGAGACGGTGGAAATGATCACACCTCTAAACAACACCTATCCTTTTATCACACCTGCTACGAACCCACCCTTTAAATCACACGCGCACAACACACATCCTGTTATCACTGACCGCTACAAACAACAACCGCCTGTTATCACAGAACACACCCGCTACATAACAACACAAGCCTGTTATCACACATCCACACACACCGCTACAACACCAGCCTTTTATCACACCCGACAACACCACAGCCTGTTATCACACACCACAGCAACCCGCTACACTACGCCTGTTATCACACCGCTACACCACACAGCCTGTTATCACACACGCAGCAAACAACACACGCCTGTATCACACCTCTACAACAACACAGCCTGTTTTATCACACAAGGCACACACGCTACACCAGCTGTTATCACCGCCCATGATCCACAGCGCGCTACAAACATACATGCCTGTTTCACACCCGCTACAAGACCACACAGCTGTTATCACAACCGCTACCACACCAGCCTTTATCACACACCGCTACAACATACAGGCAGCATGTTTATCACTATCACACGCACACGCCAACCGCTACAACAGCACATCCTTGTTATCACACCGCTACAACACACCAGCCTGTTATCACACCGCTACAACACACCACAGCCTGTTATCACACCGCTACAACAACACACAGCCTGTTATCACACCGCTACAACCCACAGCCTGTTATCAACAACACCGCTACACAACACACGCCTTTATCACAGCCACAGCACAAACACCACAGCTGTTATCACCCCGCTCAACCACACAGCCTGTGATCACAGCCGCTACAACACACAGCCGTTATCACACCTCTATCAACACACACAGCCTGTTTCACAACACTCACAACCTCTACCAACACACATCCTTTTATCACACGCTACCACACACAGCCGTTATCAACCAACACGATCCGCTACAGAGTGGAGACACACAAGCCTGTTTATCCCAAACCGCTACAACCCACAGCTTTTCTCACATCGCTACAACACACGCCTTTTATCACCACACACACCTCTACAAACCCACAGCCTGTTCACACACAACACACCGCTACAACTCAACAGCCTTTTATCACAACCCAGGCACCCCTCACATACACAACACAGCTTTTATCACCTCTCTACAAGCAACACTCCGTTATCACCCGCTACAACACACTCTGTTATCACCCTGCGTACACACCACAGCCTGTATCACAACCGCTCACACACACAGCCTTTTATCGACACTCACAACAGCACACACAAACCGCTACAAACGTCCAACAGCCTGTTATCACCCACACCGCTACAACAACCACAGCCTGTATCACAAACCTCTACCACACAGCCTGTTAGCACACCGTACAACACCACACCTGTGATCCACACACCACACACACACCACCCTACACAAACACCACACACCCTGTTATCACACCCCGCTACAACAACACCCAGCTGTTACAATCCGCTACAACACAAGCCTGTTATCACCCGCACAACACACAGCCGGTTTCCACACCGCTACAACACAACACGCCTGTATCATCACAAAACCCTGCTACAACCACAACAACAATCTCATCTAAAAATGGGGGGGGTATCACACCGCTACAAAAACAAAACACAAAGCCTGTTAGTCACACATCACACCGCTACAACACCACAGCCTGTTATCACACCGCTACAACAACACAGCCTGTTATCACACCGCTACAACAACACAGCCTGTTATCACACCGCTACAAACACAACCCCACAGCCTGTTATCACACCGCTACAACACACAGCCTGTTATCACACCGCTACAACACCCAGCCTGTTATCACCTGGGTCACAATACACAACACCGCTACAACATACAGCCTTTTATCACAACACGTCGTCTACAAAAATACAACACAGCCTGTTATCACATCCACACCTCTCACACCACATCCTGTTATCATCACCTCTACATAACAACACCTCCTGTTATCACACCAAACCAATCCGCAAAACACACAATCCTTTTATCACCATACGCTACACACACAGCCTGTTATCACACACACATCCGCTACAACACACACCTTTATCACCCGCTTACAACACACAGCCTGTTATCAGACACCGCACAGACACAGCCTGTTACACGGACAAACCGCTACAACACCCCTTGATGAATCTCAACACATAACGACACCGCTACAACAACACATCCTGTTAATCACCACCCGCTACAACACACACAGGCCCTGTTTCACTGCCCGCCTACAACCACCCACAATCCTGTTATCAATCACAACCGTCTACAACACCACTCCTGTTATCACAAGCCGCTACATCCACACCTCCTTTTATCACCCCGGCTAGCGATACTAATACAATCCTTTTTCTCACTTATGCACCCTACAGCAACACACATCCTTTTATCACAGCACCCTCTACAACAACACAGTCTTTTATCATCTGAGGTGTGAACCGCTACAACACCACAGCCTGTTTCACTCGCTAACAACAACACATCCTGTTATCACCCCGCTACAACAACCAGCCTGTTTATCCACACCGTCTACACACACAAATCCTTTTATCACAACAGAAGTTTACCGTCTACAACAACACACACCTGTTATCCCACACCGCTCCAACACCACAGCCTTTTCTCACACCGCTACAAAAACACAACAAAGCCTGTTTCAACACCGCTACAGCACACAGCCTGTTATGCACACCCCCCGCTACAACAACACATACCTGTTATCACAAAGACCGTCTACAACAACACCGCCTTTTATCACAACCCGCTACACCAACAACACAGCCTGTTATCACACCGCTACAACAACACACTGCCTGTTATCACACCGCTACAAAACCACAGCCTGTTATCACACCGCTACAACACCACAGCCTGTTATCACACCGCTACAACAACACAGCCTGTTATCACACCGCTACAACACCAACATGCCTGTTATCACAAACCCACCACAAGCGCTCCAACACAGCCTGTTATCACACCGCTACAAACAACACATCCTTTATCACACCGCTACACCCCACATCTGTTATCACCACCGCTACAACCCAGCCTGTTATCACATAAAACGCTACAAACACACAGCCTGTTATCACAATCACACCGCCCCCTACAACACCACAGCCCTGTTATCACAAACCGCTAAACACACAGCCTGTATCCACATCCCTACAAACAAACAACCAACACAGCCTGTTATCACACCGCTACAACAACACAGCCTGTTTGTCACAAATATCACACCCCGCTACATCAACAACACAGCCTGTTATCACAACCTCTACATTATACAACACAGCCTTTTCTCACCCACTACAACAACAACAGCCTGTTATAAGCTTGGGGGATACTAATTATTATAAGCTACTGATTTTGAAACAACCAGGAGCAGTTGAGAGACAGCGGAGGTGAGGAGTCACAGGATGATACTTGGTGTAACCATGGAACCGGGGTAGACACAGGCGTAACCATGGGGACTGTGGTAGTGACCGTTGTAACCATGGTACCAGTGGTGACCGGCATTCACAGAGTGAGAAGGCATGCCTGGTCCGCCACTGGATTTTTAGTGTTCAATGATAAAACGGTCCTATTTATTTCAGTCTTTAGGAGGGGGAGACAGAGAGACACTGACTAACAGTTTCATATGAATTTGATTCGAATTTTAAATCTATGGATCTGTCACTATAATTTCTTTCAGAGGGTGACAGTATTTGGGAAGAGGGCCACTGCCGCACTGGCTGCTGGGTAGGTTAATCCCAGGGTTGGTGATGGGATATGTAGTTGTCCTTTCCTGTACCACTCACACGTCGTTGCACTCACCTTCCACTCTCCCCACTAGTCCTGCCGATCCCTTTACACTCCCTTCTTACCTGGAGCTTCCTCTCCTCTCTCCATCCTCCAAGCCCTCCTCGCTTCCTCCCCCGGCCTCGTCCTCCTCCTCCTCCTCCTCTCCCCAGGTTCTTGTAGTTTGGGCTCGTTTCTGTTTCTGGGCTGCGCCTGTCGCCTTTCGCCCCCGATTGCAAGTACAGCTCCAGAGACGCTCCATAGACTCGGGAGGCTTGGGTGAACCGCGCCACGCCTGCGCTCACCTGGAGAGACAAGAAGGAGAGAGGGATCGGGGGGAGGAGGGAGGGAGAGAGGGGAGAGGGAGGGACTGGGGGAGGAGGAAGGGAGAGAGGGATTGGGTGAGGGAGGAGGGAGAGAGGGATGGGGGGATGGAGGGAAGAGGGATTTAATAATGATGGAGCACGGTGTTCTTGGGACCTTCAACGCTGCAGAAATGTTTTGGGTACCCTTTCCCCAGATCTGGTGCCTCTACACCATCCTGTCTCTGAGCTTTATCCGGGGGACAATTCCTTCGACCTCAATTGCTTGTTTTTGCTCTGACATGCACTGTCACTTTGGGACTTATATAGCCATGTGTGTGCCTTTCCAAATAATGTCTAATCAATTGAATTTTCCACTGGGTGGACTCCAATCAAGGTTTAGAAACATCGCAAGTATGATCATTGGGAAACAGGATGCGCCTGAGCGCAATTTCGAGTCTCATAACAAAGGGTCTGAATACTTACGAAATAAGGTATGCGTTTTTTTTATTTGTAATACATTGCCTGATTCGCGTTGTCTTAGTGGCATATTGTTGTAGATTGATGAGGAAAAAAAAATTTGTTTAATCAATTTAGAATCATGCTGTAACCGTAGCGAAATGTGGAAAAGGCGGGGTCTGAATATTTTTCAGAACGCGCGTACTAAGTATAGTCAACCGGTGTGGACGATGTCGTCGATATGGTAAAACTCAAGATGACTCCTATCCCGAAACATATTCCAGTCCTGTGCTCGCAAATACACCCTGTAGCTTAAGATCATGTAAGAACCAACGTTACCATACACAAGGTGTGGTGTGTTTGTGTGGTTGTGTGTGTGTGTTACGTAGCGAGTATGTACAATGTGTGTGTGTGTGTGTGGTGTGTGTGGTGTGTACGTATGCGAGTAGTAAAGTGTGTGTGTGTGTGTGTGTTGTGTGTAACTTATGCGGTCTGTACAATGTCCTGTGTGTGTGTGTGTGTGTGTGTTGTGTGTGTGTGTGTGGTGTGTGTGTGTGTGTACGTAATGGCAAGTATGTACATGTGTGTATGTTTGTGTGTGTGTGGTGTGTGTGTGTTTACGTATGCGAGTATGTACCATGTGTGTGTGTGTGTGTGTGTGTGTGTACTTAATGCGAGTATGTACAATGTGTGTTTGTGTGTGTGTCGTACATGCGAGTATGTTACATGTTTGTAATGTGTGTGTGTGTGGTGTGTGTGTGTGTGTACGTATGGTTCGAGTATTGTACAATGTGTGTATGTGTGTGTGTGTGTGTGTGTGTACGTAGGCGAGTATGTACAATGTTGCTGTATGTGTGTGTGGGTTTGTGTGTGTGTGACGTAGGCGAGTAATGTACAATGTGTGTATGCCTTTGTTGTGTTTGTGATGTTGTGTGTACGTATGCGAGTATGTACAATGGTGTGTTGTGTGTGTGTGTGTGTGTGTGTGTACGTTGTCGAGTATGTACATGTGTGTATGTGTGTGTGCCAGAAGCGTAATCAACCCACATGCCTTCTAAGAAAGTAAATAAATAATAATAAAAAATAATAATATAATAATAATAATAATAATAATATAATAATTATTATTATTATATGCCATTAGCATGAAACGCTTTTATCCAAAGCGACTTAAAGTCATGCTTGCATAATTTTTTGTATAGGGGATTGTCCCGGAAGCGAACCCACTACCTTTGGCGCTAGTCAGCGCGCCTTGCTTCTACCCTCTGGGCTACAGAGTGACCGGACAGTCCAGCAGCAGTACTGAGAACCTCCATTCATCCTTACTACACTCCTGAACATGATGAAAAGGAGAGTACCGTTTTCTAACAGAAGATACAGATGATTTGAATGGTGATTTTTTTACAGCTGAATTTGTTTTGCTTGTCCTCTTTCAATAATATCTAGAAGAGCTAAGGAGGTTTATTCCATCACATCCCCCAAACCAGGGACATTTTACGCTAAAAAACGTCTTCCCTTGACTAACAGTAACATGTTTTTACATTTTCAGTCATTTAGGCAGACGCCTTATTCTATTTAATAATTTTTCTACTGGCCCCCCTGGGAATCGAACCCACAACCCTGTCGTTGCAACGCATGACTCTATCAACTAGGGTCTACATCCCTGCCGGGCCATTCCCCTCCACTACCCGTGGACACGCTGGGCCAATTGGTTCGCCGCGCCCTCATGGGGTCTCCCGGTCCGCGGCGCTACTACAGAGCCTGGATCTCAAACCAAGGATCTCTATTGGCACAGCCTTAGACCACTCGCCACTACTGGTAGTTACTCGGGAGCCATCTTTCCATTGACTACAGTAACCGTTTTAATAGGACCCACTACAGAACAGTCCATCCATTGACTAACAGTAACCTAGGTAATTGGTTTTATTTCAGTAGTACATGACTTAACACAACATGACCACAGTATGTGGACACCTGCTGGTCAACATCTCAATTCCAAAATCAGGGGCATTATATTGGAGTGTGGTCCCCCCTTAGCTGCTATAACACCTCCCACTCTTCTGGTAAAGGCTTTCCACTAGATGTTTGAACATTGCTGATGGGGACTTGCTTCCATTCTTGCCACAGAGCATTAGTGAGGTCGGGCACTGATGTTGGTGCGATTAGGCCTGCTCGCATTCGGCGTTCCAATAATATAAAGGAGAACAGGGTACGAGTGGAGACGGATGAATGGTGTAACCATGGAGACCGGGGTAGACACAGGCGTAACCATGGGAGACTGTGGTAGTGACAGTTGTAACCATGGAGACCAGGTGAGTGACAGGCATTCACAGAGAGAAGGCAGGCCTGGTCTCCAAACTGGATTTTAGTGTTCAGATGATAAAACGGTCCTATTTATTCAGTCTTTAAGGAGGGGGGAGACAGAGAGACACTGATCTACAGTTTCATATGAATTTGATTCGAATTTTAAATCTATGGATCTGTTTTATAATTTATTTCAGAGGGTGACAGTTTTGGAGAAGAGGGCCACTGCCGCACTGGCTGCTGGGTAGGTAATCCCAGGGTGGTGATGGGATATGTAGTTGTCCTGTCCTGTACACACAGACACACTCACCTTCCATCTCCCCACTAGTCCTGCCGATCCCTTTACTACTCCCTTCTGTACCTGGAGCCTTCTCCCTCTCTCCATCCTCCAAGCCCTCCTCTCTTCCTCCCCCCGGCCTCTCCTCCTCCTCCTCCTCCTCTCCCAGGTTCTTGTAGTTGGGCCGTTTCTGGGCTCGCTTGCGCCCCCGATTGCAGGACAGCTCCAGAGACCGCTCCAGAGACTCGGGAGGCTTGGTGAACCGACGCACGCCTGCGCTCACCTGGAGAGACAGAAGGAGAGAGGGACGGGGGGAGGGAGGGAGGGAGAGAGGGAGGGACGGGGGGAGGGAGGAAGGGAGAGAGGGATGGGGGAGGGAGGGAGGGAGAGAGGGATGGGGGAGGGAGGGAGAGAGGGATTTAATAATGATGGAGGCCACTGTGTTCTTGGGGACCTTCAACGCTGCAGAAATGTTTTGGTACCCTTCCCCAGATCTGTGCCTCGACACAATCCTGTCTCTGAGCTTTACGGACAATTCCTTCGACCTCATGGCTTGGTTTTTGCTCTGACATGCACTGTCAACTTTGGGACCTTATATAGACAGGTGTGTGCCTTTCCAAATAATGTCTAATCAATTGAATTTTCCACAGGTGGACTCCAATCAAGGTTGTAGAAACATCTCAAGGATGATCATTGGAAACAGGATGCGCCTGAGCGCAATTTCGAGTCTCATAACAAAGGGTCTGAATACTTACGTAAATAAGGTATGCGTTTTTTTTATTTTTAATACATTTGCCTGATTTCGCTTTGTCATTATGTGATATTGTGTGTAGATTGATGAGGGAAAAAATTTTGTTTAATCAATTTTAGAATAATGCTGTAACGTAGCGAAATGTGGAAAAAGGACGGGGTCTGAATATTTTTCAGAACGCGCTGTACGAACGTATAGTCACCGTGTGGACGATGTCGTCGATATGGTAAAACTCAAGATGAATCCCGAAACATATTCCAGTCTGTGCTCGCAAAACAGCCCTGTAGCTTAGTATCATGTAAGACCAACGTTACCATACACACAGGTGTGTGTGTTTGTGTGTGTGTGTGTGTGTGTGTGTACGTATGCGAGTATGTACAATGTGTGTGTGTGTGTGTGTGTGTGTGTGTGTACGTATGCGAGTATGTACAATGTGTGTGTGTGTGTGTGTGTGTGTGTACGTATGCGAGTATGTACAATGTCTGTGTGTGTGTGTGTGTGGTGTGTGTGTGTGTGTGTTTGTGTGTGTGTGTGTACGTATGCGAGTATGTACAATGTGTGTATGTGTGTGTGTGTGTGTGTGTGTGTGTGTACGTATGCGAGTATGTACAATGTGTGTGTGTGTGTGTGTGTGTGTACGTATGCGAGTATGTACAATGTGTGTGTGTGTGGTGTATGTACGTATGCGAGTATGTACAATGTGTGTATGTGTGTGTGTGTGTGTGTGTGTGTGTGTACGTATGCGAGTATGTACAATGTGTTGTGTGTGTGTGTGTGTGTGTGTACGTATGCGAGTATGTACAATGTGTGTATGTGTGTGTGTGTGTGTGTGTGTGTACGTATGCGAGTATGTACAATGTGTGTATGTGTGTGTGTGTGTGTGTGTGTACGTATGCGAGTATGTACAATGTGTGTATGTGTGTGTGTGTGTGTGTGTGTGTACGTATGCGAGTATGTACAATGTGTGTATGTGTGTGTGCCAGTAAGCAGTAATCAACCAACATGCCTTCTAAGAAGTAAATAATAATAATAATAAATAATAATAATAATAATAATAATAATAATAATAATAATTATTATTATTATATGCCATTTAGCAGACGCTTTTATCCAAAGCGACTTAAAGTCATGCGTGCATAATTTTTTTGTATATGGGTGGTCCCGGGGAATCGAACCCACTACCTTTGGCGCTACAAGCGCCGTGCTCTACCAGCTGAGCTACAGAGGACCAGGAAGTCAGCAGCAGTAATGAGAACATCCATTCATCCATTAATACACTTCCTGACAGGATGAAAAGGAGGACCGTTTTCTAAACAAGGAAGATACAGATGATTTGAATGGTGATTTTTTACAGCTGAATTTGTTTTTCTTGTCCATGTAAATAATATCTAGAAGAGATAAGGAGGTTATTCCATCACATCCCCCAAAACACCAGGGACATTTTACTCTAAAACAGTCTTCCATTGACTAACAGTAACAGTTTTACATTTTAGTCATTTAGCAGACGCTCTTATCTATTTATAATTTTTCATACTGGCCCCCCTTGGGAATCGAACCCACAACCCTGGCGTTGCAAAACGCCATGCTCTACCAACTGAGCTACATCCCCTGCCGGCCATTCCCTCCCCTACCCTGGACGACGCTGGGCCAATTGTGCGCCGCCCCATGGGGTCTCCCGGTCGCGGCCGGCTACGACAGAGCCTGGATTCAAACCAGGATCTCTAGTGGCACAGCCTTAGACCACTGCGCCACTCGGGAGAACAGTCTTCCATTGACTAACAGTAACCGTTTTAATAGGACCCCACTACAGAACAGTCTTCCATTGACTAACAGTAACAGAGTTATTGGTTTTATTTCAGTAGTACAGGACTTACACAACATGACCAACAGTATGTGGACACCTGCTGGTCAAACATCTCATTCCAAAATCATGGGCATTAATATGGAGTTGGTCCCCCCTTAGCTGCTATAACAGCCTCCACTCTTCTGGGAAGGCTTTTCCACTAGATGTTGGAACATTGCTGATGGGGACTTGCTTCCATTCTGCCACGAGAGCATTAGTGAGGTCGGGCACTGATGTTGGGCGATTAGGCCTGGCTCGCAGTCGGCGTTCCAATTCATCCCAAATCTCAACAAACCATTTCTGTTTGGACCTCGCTTTGTGCACGGGGGCATGCTGAAACAGGAAAGGGAACTTCCCCCAAACCGTTGCCATAAAGTTGGAAGCACAGAATCGTCTAGAATGTCATTGTACAGAGAGGGAAAAAAGTATTTGATCCCCTGCTAATTTTGTACGTTTGCCCACTGACAAAGACATGATCAGTCTATAATTTTAATGGTAGGTTTATTTGAACAGTGAGAGACAGAATAACAACAACAAAATCCAGAAAAACGCATGTCAAAAATGTTATAAATTGATTTGCATTTTAATGAGGGAAATACGTATTTGACCCCTCTGCAAAACATGACTTAGTACTTGGTGGCAAAACCCTTGTTGGCAATCACAGAGGTCAGACGTTTCTTGTAGTTGGCCACCAGGTTTGCACACATCTCAGGAGGGATTTTGTCCCACTCCTCTTTGCAGATCTTCTCCAAGTCATTAAGGTTTCGAGGCTGACGTTTGGCAACTCGAACCTTCAGCTCCCTCCACAGATTTTCTATGGGATTAAGGTCTGGAGACTGGCTAGGCCACTCCAGGACCTTAATGTGCTTCTTCTTGAGCCACTCCTTTGTTGCCTTGGCCGTGTGTTTTGGGTCATTGTCATGCTGGAATACCCCATCCGCGACCCATTTTCAATGCCAATGGCTGAGGTAGGAGGTTCATCACCCAAGATTTGACGGTACATTGGCCCCGTCCATCGTCCCTTTGGGATTGCAGTGACGTTGTCCTGTCCCCGTTAGTAGAAAAACACCCCCAAGCATAATGTTTACCACCTCCATGTTTGACGGTGGGGATGGTGTTTCTTGGGAGTCATAAGGCAGCATTCCCCCCTCCTGCAACACGGCCGAGTTGAGTTTGATGCCAAAGAGCTCCATTTTGGGTCTCATCTTGACCCACAAACACTCTTCACCCAGTTCTCCTCTGGTGAATACATTCAGATGTGAGCAGGGGGACCCTTGGCGGGCGCTGACAGGATTTTCATGTCCTTCACGGCGTAGTGTGTTTACCAATTCTTTTCGTTGGTGGGACTATGGTCCCCAGATGGTCTTGGATCATGACAAGATCCTCCCGTGTAGTTCTGGGCTGATTCCTCACCGTTCTCATGATCATTGCATCTTCACGAGGTGAGATCTTGCCTGGATGGCCCAGGCCGAGGGAGATTGACAGGTTCTTTTGTGTTTCTTCCATTTGCAAATAATCGCACGAACTGTTGTCACCTTCTCACCAAGCTGCTTGGCGATGGTCTTGTAGCCCATTCCAGCCTTGTGTAGGTCTACAATCTTGTCCTGACATCCTTGGAGAGCTCTTTGGTCTGGCCATGGGGAGAGTTTGGAATCTGATTGAATGATTGCTCTGTGGACAGGTGTCTTTTATACAGGTAACAAGTCTGAGATTAGGAGCACTCCCTTTAAGAGGGAGCCAGAAATCTTTCTGATTGAGGGGGGGGTCAAACACTTATTTCCCTCATTAAAATGCAAATCAATTTATAACGTTTTTCTGGATTTTTGTTGTTGTTATTCTGTCTCTCACTGTTCAAATAAACCTACCATTAAAATTATAGACTGATCATTTCTTTGTCAGTGGGCAAACGTACAAAATCAGCAGGGGATCAAATACTTTTTCCCCTCACTGTATGCTGTAGCGTTAAGATTTCCCTTCACTAGAACTAAGGGACCTGAACCATGAAAAACAGCCCCAGACCATTATTCCTCCTCCACCAAACTTTACAGTTGGCACTATGCATGGGGCAGGTAGCGTTCTCCTGGCATCCGCCAAACCCTGATTCGTCCGTCGGACTGCCAGATGGTGAAGTGTGATTCATCACTCCAGAGGACGCGTTTCCACTGCTCCAGAGTCCAATGGCGGCAAGCTTTACACCACTCCAGCCGACGCTTGGCATTGCGCATGGTGATCTTAGGGTTTGTGTGCGGCTGCTCGGCCATGGAAACCCATTTCATGGAAGCCCCGACGAACAGTTCTTCCCGACGAACGTTGCTTCCAGAGAAAGTTTGGAACTCTGCAGTGAGTGTTGCAACCAAGGACAGATGATTTTTACGCGCTACGCGCTTCAGCACTCGGCGGTCCCGTTCTGTGAGCTTGTGTGGCCTACCACTTTGCGGCTGAGCCGTTGTTGCTCCTAGACGTTTCCACTCCACAATAACAGCACTTACAGTTGACCGGGGGCAGCTCTAGCAGGGCAGAAATGTGACGAACTGACTTGTTGGAAAGGTGGCATCCTATGACGGTGCCACGTTGAAAGTCACTGAGCTCTTCAGTAAGGCCATTCTACTGCCAGCAATTTGAAGGGGTGTGTCCACATACTTCTGTATATATACAGTGCATTCGGAAAATATTCAGACCCATTGACTTTTTCCACATAAAAAACTGAAATACCTTATTTACGTACGTATTCAGACCCTTTGCTATGAGACTCGTAATTGAGCTCAGGTGCATCCTGTTTCCATTGATCATTCCTTGAAATGTTTCTACAACCTTGATTGGAGTCCACCTGTGGTAAATTCAATTGATTGGACATGATTTGGAAAGGCACACACCTGTCTATGTAAGGTCCCTCAGTTGACAGTGCATGTCAGAGCAAAAACCAACCATTATGGGGTATTGTGTGTAGATTGATGAGGTCGAAAAAAACAATTTAATCAATTTTAGAATAAGGCTGTAACGTAACAAAATGTGGAAAAAGTCAAGGGGTCTGAATACTTTCCCAATGCACTGTATAGTGTATGTCTGGAATAAGACACCACCTATTTGAGACGTACAGTCACCCACACAACCAATTCTCCACTTTTAACTGCACCACATTCTAGCTACCATGTTTTGTTGTCGTTGAAAGTCTGTGTGTGTGTGTGTGTGTGTGTGTGTGTGTCTGTGTGTGTGTGTGTGTGTGTGTGTGTGTGTGTGTATGTGTGTGTGTGTGTGTGTGTGTGTGTGTGTGTGTGTGGTGTGTGTGTGTGTGTGTGTCTGCAGCATGCAGCGAGCATTTTCTGGTAAATCACTCACGCTCAGAAAATAATTATAGTCACAGACCACACACACACACACACACAGACACACACACACACACACACAGAGACACACACGCTGACACACGCAAGCCAAAGTCACATGTTCTTCACCAGCGAGAGGCCGCTCCCAAAACAAATGATGATGCAGAGCTTAACACTGCCAGTTGATTAACAGATGTATCTGAATGGTAATGTCTTCATGTGGGTTGAATAACAGATAATGTATCTGAATGGTAATGTCTTCATGTGGGTTGAATAACAGATAATGTATCTGAATGGTAATGTCTTCATGTGGGGTTGAATAACAGATAATGTATCTGAATGGTAATGTCTTCATGTGGGTTGAATAACAGATAATGTATCTGAATGGTAATGTCTTCATGTGGGTTGAATAACAGATAATGTATCTGAATGGTAATGTCTTCATGTGGGTTGAATAACAGATAATGTATCTGAATGGTAATGTCTTCATGTGGGTTGAATAACAGATAATGTATCTGAATGGTAATGTCTTCATGTGGGTTGAATAACAGATAATGTATCTGAATGGTAATGTCTTCATGTGGGTTGAATAACAGATAATGTATCTGAATGGTAATGTCTTCATGTGGGTTGAATAACAGATGTAATGTATCTAAAATGGTAATGTCTTCATGTGGGTTGAATAACAGATAATGTATCTAAATGGTAATGTCTTCATGTGGGTTGAATAACAGATAATGTATCTGAATGGTAATGTCTTCATGTGGGTTGAATAACAGATAATGTATCTGAATGGTAATGTCTTCATGTGGGTTGAATAACAGATAATGTATCTGAATGGTAATGTCTTCATGTGGGTTGAATAACAGATAAGTATCTGAATGGTAATGTCTTCATGTGGGTTGAATAACAGATAATGTATCTGAATGGTAATGTCTTCATGTGGGTTGAATAACAGATAATGTATCTGAATGGGTTAATGCTTAATGTGGGTTGAATAACAGATAATGTATCTGAATGGTAATGTCTTCATGGGGGTGAATAAAATGAATGATTATAAATGGTATGTCTCATGGTTAAACAGAGTAAGTATCTGAATGGTAATGTCTTCATTGGGTTGAATAACAGATAATGTATCTGAATGGTAATGTCTTCATGTGGGTTGAATAACAGATGTAATGTATCTAAATGGTAATGTCTTCATGTGGGTTGAATAACAGATTAATGTTCTAGAATGGTAATGTCTTCATGTGGGTTGAATAACAGATAATGTATCTGAATGGTAATGTCTTCATGTGGGTTGAATAACAGATGTAATGTATCTAATGGTATGTCTTCATGTGGGTTGATAACAGATATGTATCTGAATGGTAATGTCTCATGTGGGTTGAATAACAGATTAATGTATCTAATGGTAGTCTTCATGTGGGTTGAACAACAGATCAGGAGTCTTACCATTGAATAAAGATATTCAATTACTTATGGTTATTCAATCCACATGAAGACATTACCATTTAGATACATAATCGTTATTCAACCCCATGAAGACATTACCATTTAGATACATTACATCTGTTATTCAACCCACATGAAGACATTACCATTAGATACATTATCTGTTATTCAACCCACATGAAGACATTACCATTTTAGATACATTACATCTGTTATTCAACCCACATGAAGACATTACCATTTTAGATACATTACATCTGTTATTCAACCCACATGAAGACATTACCATTCAGATACATTATCTGTTATTCAACCCACATGAAGACATTACCATTCAGATACATTATCTGTTATTCAACCCACATGAAGACATTACCATTCAGATACATTATCTGTTATTCAACCCATATGAAGACATTACCATTCAGATACATTATCTGTTATTCAACCCATGAAGACATTACCATTCAGATCATTATTGTTATTCAACCCACTGAAGACATTACCATTCAGATACATTATCTGTTATTCAACCCATGAAGACATTACCATTCAGATACATTATCTGTTATTCAACCCACATGAAGACATTACCATTCAGATACATTATCTGTTATTCAAACACATGAAGACATTACCATTCAGATACATTATCTGTTATTCAACCCACATGAAGACATTACCATTTCAGATACATTTCTGTTATTCAAACCCATATGAAGACATTACCATTTCAGATACATTATCTGTTATTCAACCCACATGAAGACATTACCATTCAGATACATTATCTGTTATTCAACCCACATGAAGACATTACCATTCAGAAACAGTGCTACAAGACCATGGTGCTTGCCTACGGAGCTGTGAGGGGAACGGCACCTCCGTACCTTCAGGCTCTGATCAGTCCCTACACCCAAACGAGGGCATTGCGTTCATCCACCTCTGGCCTGCTGGCTCCCCTTCCTCTGCGGAAGCACAGTTCCCGCTCAGCCCAGTCAAAACTGTTCGCTGCTCTGGCACCCCAATGGTGGAACAAGCTCCCTCACGACGCCAGGACAGCGGAGTCACTCACCACCTTCCGGAGACATTTGAAACCCCACCTCTTTAAGGAATACCTGGGATAGGATAAAGTAATCCTTCTACCCCCCCGCCCCCACCAAAAAAATAAATAAATTGTAAAGTGGTTATCCCACTGGCTATAAGGTGAATGCACCTATTTGTAAGTCGCTCTGGATAAGAGCGTCTGCTAAATGACGTAAATGTAAATGAAAAATGTATTTGCCCCCTTTCTAATTTTCTCTACTTTTGCATATTTGTGATACTGAATGTTATCAGATCTTCAACCAAAACCTAATATTAGATAAAGGGAACATAAGTGAACAAATAACACAACAATTACATATTTATTTCATAAACAAAGTTATGCAACACCCAATTCCCCTGTGTGAAAAAGTAATTAAAAGCCCAGCTGGGTCATGCAGCAAGACAATGATCCAAAACACACAATCAAGTCTACATGAAAATTGCTAAAAAGCAACAAATTGGAAGTTTTGGAATGGCCTAGTCAAAGTCCAGACCTAATCCCAATTGAGATGTTGTGGCAAGACTTGAAACAAGCAGTTCATGCTTGAAAACCCACAAATGTCGCTGAGTTAAAGCAGTTCTGCATGGAAGAGCGGGCCAAAATTCCTCCACAGCGACGTGAGAGACTGATCAACAACTACAGGTAGCATTTGGTGGGAGTCATTGCAGCTAAAGGTGGCACAACCAGTTATTGAGTGTAAGGGTGCAATTACTTTTTCACACAGGGGAATTGGGTGTTGCATAACTTTGTTTATGAAATAAATATGTAATTGTTGTGTTATTTGTTCACTTATGTTCCCTTTATCTAATATTAGGTTTTGGTTGAAGATCTGATAACATTCAGTATCACAAATATGCAAAAATTGAGAAAATTAGAAAGGGGGCAAATACTTTTTCATAGCACTGTTTCTGAATGGTAATGTCTTCATGTGGGTTGAATAACAGATGTAATGTATCTAAAATGGTAATGTCTTCATGTGGGTTGAATAACAGATAATGTATCTGAATGGTAATGTCTTCATGTGGGTTGAATAACAGATGTAATGTATCTAAATGGTAATGTCTTCATGTGGGTTGAATAACAGATAATGTATCTAAATGGTAATGTCTTCATGTGGGTTGAATAACAGATAATGTATCTAAATGGTAATGTCTTCATGTGGGTTGAATAACAGATAATGTATCTGAATGGTAATGTCTTCATGTGGGTTGAATAACAGATAATGTATCTAAATGGTAATGTCTTCATGGGTTGAATAACAGATGTAATGTATCTAACTGGTAATGTCTTCATGTGGGTTGAATAACAGATAATGTATCTAATGGTAATGTCTTCATGTGGGTTGAATAACAGATAATGTATGAATGGTAATGTCTTCGTGGTGATGAATGATGAATGGTAAGTCTTCGTGGTGAACAGATGTAATGAGTTATGGTAGTGCTGCATGTGTGTTGAATGTGTATGTTTGGTAATGTCTAGTGGTTGTAGATGTATGTCATGGTATGTTATGTGGTGTGATCAGTTGTATGATGGTATGTCTCATGTGGGTGTGATAACGTGGTGTAGAGTCTAGTGGTAATGTGCTTCAGTGGTGTGATGTATGTAGTGTGATGGTATGTGTCTTATGTGGTGTCAGTGTGTGATGTCTAAGTGTATCGTCTCATGTGGTTGAATGTGTATGTTTTGGTAATGTCTTCATGTGTGTTGATAGATGTGTTTGATGTCTGTTGTGGTGTGTGTTCTTGTGTTGTTGTGGGTTGTGATGTATGTTAACAACTCACGGTTGTTTTGTGGTTGTTGTGAAGACAGAAAGGTCTCCGTTTGAAGTGGATGAATACAGCAGAAGTTGACCAGGGTTCGTAATGGTATGAAAACAATACAGTAGAGGAAGTCCAGACCCACCAACAAATAAGTTCAACATGTAACTCAGTGGTTGAACAAGTATTTCTTTGTTCCATCTGGGTGGAATGAGGTGTAGTGTATAAGGTGATGTGCTTGCAGGTGGGTGAGTGTTGTCTGATGGTGTCTGTGGTGGTGTGTACGAGGTGTCATGTGTGTGGTATGTGTGTGTGGTGTGTCAGTGTAGTGTCTTGGTAATGCTGTTGTGTGTGAAGGTACACAACTGTGACAGCAGGTTAAGGGACCCTGAGGGTTGATAATCTACGATCTTCAGACTGCAAATGACAGACAACATGTCGGGTACACAAGTATGTTAAACGGTAACTGACATACCATCAGTGGTACTGCACACTACCACACAAAGATCAACGACCAAATCCTCGGAACACCTGACCCTACATCCAACACCACTTCAACCCACCCCACCACACCCGTGTTTGGTGTGATCTGGTAAGTGATGGTGAGTGTGGTTCCCGGGGTCTGGGTGGGTGTGTGTGTTCGTGGTGTTGGGGGGGGGTACACTCACGTGTTTTTGTTGAAGCAGACAGCTCCTTGAAATACTCAGCCAGAGATTACCAGTTGTAGGATATGAGAACACCTAGGTGGGGTGAGGTGTGGTCTGGTGTGATGTGGTTGGGTGGGGTGAGGTGTGGTCTGGTGTGATGTGGTGAGGTGTGGTGAGGTGTCATTGTGTGTGTGTGTGTGTGTGTGTGTGTGTGTGTGTGTGTGTGTGTGCGTGTGTGTGTGCGCAGGTACACACCTGTGACAGCAGGTTAAGGGACACCTGAGGGTTGATCTTACGATCTTCAGACTGCAACAGACAAGACAACATGTCAGGTACACATAGTATTGGTTACACCGGTACACATACATACCCACACCAGCTGTACATCCACACCTACCCACAACCACCCACACCCACAACCACCCACACCTACCCACAACCACCCACCCCCACAACCACCCCCAACCACCCACCCCCCTCCACCTACCTGTTCAGGGCAGACCAGAGAGAAGACATAGAGGGGTAGGAACAGGCGGTTGAGGAGGTGGTCTGTCAGGACATCGTTCAGGAACTCACAATTGATAGTGAGGATATCGTTGAGGTAGTGGAGATGATCAAGATGTTCTGCTACCAAGTCACTCAGCTTCCCCCTGTTCCGATGCCTGGATGGGGGAGGGGAGGGCATCTCCCATCATGCATCAGTCTTACATTAACACACTGCACTTTTTTTTCCCCTTCCATTGACAGTATTGATCTAGTTTGTAACAGTGTGTATTGATCTAGTTTGTAACAGTATGTATTGATCTAGTTTGTAACAGTATGTATTGATCTAGTTTGTAACAGTATGTATTGATCTAGTTTGTAACAGTATGTATTGACCTAGTTTGTAACAGTATGTAATGTATTGATCTAGTTTGTAACAGTATGTATTGATCTAGTTTGTAACAGTATGTAATGTATTGATCTAGTTTGTAACAGTATGTAATGTATTGATCTAGTTTGTAACAGTGTGTAATGATCTAGTTTGTAACAGAATGTAATGTATTGATCTAGTTTGTAACAGTATGTAATGTATTGATCTAGTTTGTAACAGTATGTAATGTATTAATCTAGTTTGTAACACTATGTAATGTATTGATCTAGTTTGTAACAGTATGTAATGTATTGATCTAGTTTGTAACAGTATGTAATGTATTGATCTAGTTTGTAACAGTGTGTATTGATCTAGTTTGTAACAGTATGTATTGATCTAGTTTGTAACAGTATGTAATGTATTGATCTAGTTTGTAACAGTATGTATTGATCTAGTTTGTAACAGTATGTAATGTATTGATCTAGTTTGTAACAGTATGTAATGTATTGATCTAGTTTGTAACAGTATGTATTGATCTAGTTTGTAACAGTATGTAATGTATTGATCTAGTTTGTAACAGCATGTAATGTATTGATCTAGTTTGTAACAGTGTGTATTGTATTGATCTAGTTTGTAACAGTGTGTAATGTATTGATCTAGTTTGTAACAGTATGTTAACTGTTTTTGATCTAGTTGTAACAGTGTGGTAATGTATTGATCTAAGTTTGTAACAGTTATGTAATGTATTTGAGCTAGTTTGTAACAGTATGTAATGTTTTGATCTAGTTTGTAACAGTATGTAATGTATTGATCTAGTTTTGTAACAGTATGTAATGTATTGATTCTAGTTTTGTAACAGTGTGTATTGATCTAGTTTGTAACAGTATGTAATGTATTGATCTAGTTTGTAACAGTATGTAATGTATTGATCTAGTTTGTAACAGTGTGTATTGATCTAGTTTGTAACAGTATGTATTGATCTAGTTTGTAACAGTATGTATTGATCTAGTTTGTAACACTATGTAATGTATTGATCTAGTTTGTAACAGTGTGTAATGTATTGATCTAGTTTGTAACAGTATGTAATGTATTGATCTAGTTTGTAACAGTATGTAATGTTTTGATCTAGTTTGTAACAGTATGTATTGATCTAGTTTGTAACAGTATGTAATGTATTGATCTAGTTTGTAACAGTATGTATTGATCTAGTTTGTAACAGTATGTATTGATCTAGTTTGTAACAGTATGTAATGTATTGATCTAGTTTGTAACAGTATGTATTGATCTAGTTTGTAACAGTGTGTATTGATCTAGTTTGTAACAGTATGTATTGATCTAGTTTGTAACAGTATGTAATGTATTGATCTAGTTTGTAACAGTATGTAATGTATTGATCTAGTTTGTAACAGTGTGTATTGATCTAGTTTGTAACAGTATGTTATTGATCTAGTTTGTAACAGTATGTAATGTATTGATCTAGTTTGTAACAGTGTGTAATGTATTGATCTAGTTTGTAACAGTATGTAATGTATTGATCTAGTTTGTAACAGTGTGTATTGATCTAGTTTGTAACAGTATGTAATGTATTGATCTAGTTTGTAACAGTGTGTATTGATCTAGTTTGTAACAGTGTGTAATGTATTGTAATTGTTGTATCTAGTTGTAAAATTGTTGATCTAGTTTGTACAGTGATGTATTGATCTAGTTTGTAACAGTATGTAATGTATTGATCTAGTTTGTAAGTATGTAATTATTGATCTAGTTTGTAACGTATTATTGACTATTTGTAACAGTGAGTATTGATCTAGTTTGTAACAGTGTATGTATTGATCTAGTTTGTAACAGTATGTAGTTGATCTAGTTTGTAACAGTATGTAATTGTATTACTAGTTTGTAACATTATGTAACAGTGTGTATTGATCTAGTTTGTAACAGTGTGTATTGATCTAGTTGTAACGTGTATTGATTAGTTGTAACAGTATGTATTGATCTAGTTTGTAACAGTAAAGTATTGATCTAGTTTGTAACAGTATGTAATTAGTTATTGTAACATATGTATGATTGATCTAGTTTGTAACAGTATGTAATGTATTGACTAGTTTGTAACAGTTGTATGTATTGATCTAGTTTGTAACATGTATGTATTGATCTAGTTGTTGTAACAGTATGTAATGTATTGATCTAGTTTGTAACAGTTGTTGTATTGATCTAGTTTGTAACAGTATGTAATGTATTGATCTAGTTTGTAACAGTATGTATGATCTAGTTTGTAATGTAATGTATTGATCTAGTTTGTAACAGTAGTAATGTATTGATCTAGTTTGTAACAGTGTATGTATTGATCTAGTTTGTAACAATGTATGTTGATCTAGTTTGTAACAGTATGATATGATCTAGTTTGTAACAGTATGTAATGTATTGATCTAGTTTGTAACAGTATGTATTGATCTAGTTTGTAAAGTATGTAATGTTTGATCTAGTTTGTAACAGTATGTAATGTATTGATCTAGTTTGTAACAGTATGTAATGTATTGATCTAGTTTGTAACAGTATGTATTGATCTAGTTTGTAACAGTATGTAATGTATTGATCTAGTTTGTAACAGTATGTATTGATCTAGTTTGTAACAGTATGTAATGTATTGATCTAGTTTGTAACAGTATGTATTGATCTAGTTTGTAACAGTATGTATTGATCTAGTTTGTAACAGTATGCAATGTATTGATCTAGTTTGTAACAGTATGTAATGTATTGATCTAGTTTGTAACAGTATGTAATGTATTGATCTAGTTTGTAACAGTATGTAATGTATTGATCACGTTTGTAACAGTATGTATTGATCAACTTTGTAACAGCATGTATTGATCTAGTTTGTAACAGTATGTACAGTGAGGGAAAAAAGTATTTGATCCCCTGCTGATTTTGTACGTTTGCCCACTGACAAAGAAATGATCAGTCTATAATTTTAATGGTAGGTTTATTTGAACAGTGAGAGACAGAATAACAACAAATAAATCCAGAAAAACGCATGTCAAAAATGTTATAAATTGATTTGCATTTTAATGAGGGAAATAAGTATTTGACCCCTCTACAAAACATGACTTAGTACTTGGTGGAAAAACCCTTGTTGGCAATCACAGAGGTCAGACGTTTCTTGTAGTTGGCCACCAGGTTTGCACACATCTCAGGAGGGATTTTGTCCCACTCCTCTTTTTAGATCTTCTCCAAGTCATTAAGGTTTCGAGGCTGACATTTGGCAACTCGAACCTTCAGCTCCCTCCACAGATGTTCTATGGGATTAAGGTCTGGAGACTGGCTAGGCCACTCCAGGACCTTAATGTCCTTCTTCTTGAGCCACTCCTTTGTTGCCTTGGCCGTGTGTTTTGGGTCATGCTGGAATACCCATCCACAACCCATTTTCAATGCCCTGGCTGAGGGAAGGAGGTTCTCACCCAAGATTTGACGGTACATGGCCCCGTCCATCGTCCCTTCTATGCGGTGCAGTTGTCCTGTCCCCTTAGCAGAAAAACACCCCCAAAGCATGTTTCCACCTCCATGTTTGACGGTGGGGATGGTGTTCTTGGGGTCATAGGCAGCATTCCTCCTCCTCCAAACACGGCGAGTTGAGTTGATGCCAAAGAGCTCGATTTTGGTCTCATCTGACCACAACACTTTCACCCAGTTCTCCTCTGAATCATTCAGATGTTCATTGGCAAACTTCAGACGGGCCTGTATATGTGCTTTCTTGAGCAGGGGGACCTTGCGGGCGCTGCAGGATTTCAGTCTTTCACGGCGTAGTGTGTTACCAATTGTTTTCTTGGTGACTATGGTCCCAGCTGCCTTGAGATCATTGACAAGATCCTCCCATGTAGTTCTGGGCTGATCCCTCACCGTTCTCATGATCATTGCAACTCCACGAAGTGAGATCTTGCATGGAGCCCCAGGCCGAGGGAGATTGACAGTGTTTCTTCCATTTGCAAATAATCGCACCAACTGTTGTCACCTTCTCACCAAGCTGCTTGGCGATGGTCTTGTAGCCCATTCCAACCTTGTGTAGGTCTACAATCTTATCCCTGACATCCTTGGAGAGCTCTTTGGTCTTGGCCATGGTGGAGAGTTTGGAATCTGATTGATTGATTGCTTCTGTGGACAGGTGTCTTTTATACAGGTAACAAGCTGAGATTAGGAGCACTCCCTTTAAGAGTGTGCTCCTAATCGCAGCTCGTTACCTGTAAAAAAAAGACACCTGGGAGCCAGAAATCTTTCTGATTGAGAGGGGGTCAAATACTTATTTCCCTCATTAAAATGCAAATCAATTTATAACATTTTTGACATGCATTTTTCTGGATTTTGTTGTTGTTATTCTGTCTCTCACTGTTCAAATAAACCTACCATTAAAATTATAGACTGATCATGTCTTTGTCAGTGGGCAAACGTGCAAAATCAGCAGGGGATCAAATACTTTTTCCCCCTCACTGTATTGATCTAGTTTGTAACAATATGTATTGATCAAGTTCGTAACTGTGTATGTTTTGTCTTTCACAACATGTATCTGAATGTATACCCAAAGCATG